ATTATTATTATTATTTTAAAGTATATTCTAGACTGCTCTGTCAACATACCAATTTTGATCAGGTGACATTGACGATTAGCCTTTGACATGATGTGACAGCTTGACGGACGACTGGGTTCGCCGTTTGTTATTAGTTATTCAAATACTGTCCCGCCGGTTCTGATCTCGCAATGATGACGATATACTTTTAAGAAACAAAGCAAATAATACATCAACTTACTGTGTCCACTTGTTACTTCTGACTAGAATTTATCAACTGCTAAAACATATTTGCAGGTCACATTTGAAGGAATCATTGGAAGTTCTTATACGGGTGATGTCGCCATTGATCAAGTGGAAATTATAGAAGGAAGCTGTCCAGGTAAATCTATACATAAATTATTAAAGCAAAAGGAATATATTAAAGCAAAAAACTTCATAAGGCCAGATTAAACCAACTTAACTTCCAATTTTCTAAAGCTGCCCCATAATATATAAAATACTTTGCCTTTAATCTTTTTTAGCGTCGAGGATTCAGTAGTTGTGGAGCCTAAAAAAAATTAAGGCTTGAGCGGGATTCGAACCCATGACCTTAATTTCTCAACTGCTTAAGTTGTATATAACGTTAACCTCAATGATCAATCACATCTTCATATCTTTCTCCGCAGTTCAAAGATATGATATTTCTTATATTCACCAGTATTCTTCACCATCTACGGGTATATTACGAACTCACAACGTGACCAGCTCCCAGATGGCTTGATAGCTCAGTTGGTGTTAAAGCACTGTACCGGTATCGCAGAGGTCATGGATTCGAATCCCGTCCAGGCCTGGATTTTTTCAGACTTGATTTCACATCTGCTTAAGTTTTGTATAACTGCGATGATCAATCATGTCTTCATATTTTTCCAGGAACTTCAAATATATGATAATTCATATATTCACTTGTATAGCAGTAGTTTGTCATGTGAGTACTTCAAAGTACAATTAATTTAACCTTCCATTGGCTTCAGTTTTTTGTAGCTTTGACAACGGTTTGTGCAGCGGATGGAGTCAATCTACTTTAGACGTTTTTGATTGGACACTTTACTCTGGATCCACACCGTCGTTATCCACGGGACCATCATCAGATCTTAGTGGAACAGGTGAGTTGCCTTTGATTTGTTCTTCAGTCTTCAGGCATTGTGATGAGATTGTCATGCGAATAACTACTAGACTACAATTCACCAATTTAACCAGGAATAATCGATCTTGACTATAAATGTTCAAGACAGGCCAATTTTCAGCACCGAAAATGCGTATTGCGCCTGCAGTGAAGCTTATGCTTTTTCATCCCTTTCCTTAGTAACCGTTTTGTATTTCTTGCTGATCGCGTTGATTTATGCGTTGTTGCCGTTAAGCAAGTTATACAGACCAACCTTTAATGTGGACACCTCCGAGATCTACACATCTATTTTACAGACACCTCACAAGTAACCAGAATTGGTATAATCTAGAAGGGTTTAGTTGTTTTTCCGCATTTATTATCTTTGGAGGCAGCGTGGCCAAGTGATTTAGGGCGCTGTTGTTGTAATCCGGGGGTCCCGGGTTCAAGGCCTCCGCCCTGTCACAAGCGGGATTTGTTTCTCGGTAGTCCCGAGTTCAAATCCTCGGTCACGCTTTGTAAATAGCCAACTGGTCTGCCTCCTGCCAGTTGGGATCAGTTTTTGATTATGTTACGTTTATTTGAAATGTTTGTTTCCTTTGTTTCTGCGGCATGCCTGTAGACTAGCTAAGCTTAGTGCTTGTATAGCTAAGTGCATGATCACTATAAATAAGATTTACATTTACATTTTACATTACAATAATTTTATGTATCTTTGTTTTCATAGGGAAGTATATGTACACTGAAGCTACACCTCAGTCGCCGGGCGACAATGCTAAGCTCCAGCTTGCAGTACCAAGAAGTAACTCAACCTCGTGTTTGACGTTCTTCTTTCACATGTATGGATCGGGGATGGGAACTCTGAACGTATTCAGTGGAGATACCATGATATTTACTGCGTCAGGAGACCATGGACATCGTTGGATAAAAGGAACAAGGACAGTAAATTCGAGCGACGTTGTAAGTATGCCTAAATTTTGTGGTGAGTCTTTTTTAATCCGCCGTATTTTTGACGTCAAAACAATTGAAACATGTTTAGACATGTGCACATGTCTTAATGCACGTTTGCATTTTTTTTTTTTTTTTTCGCTAGCATAGGTACGTATATGTACTCTTAGTCGTACCTAATATACACAAACTGATGCGGTTCGAAAAACAACTTTAAGGTCTGTACAGTTTCACATACCATGAAGTGCTATTATCAAAAGTTGTGCGATCGAAAAATTGCATCTCATTGAGAGGACACTGCTTACCTGAGTGAGGGACACATCTTACCTGAGAGAGGGCATTATACGGCTTGACGTTGAGTACGGCTTGTACCGATCGTCAATGTCCGGTCCGTGTACGGACCGAAAATGTCAACTAATTAAGCTTTTTAAGCGAAAGAAAATAACAAACGGGGACAACTACCATAACAAACAACTTCGATTATACATGTACACCTTGCTTGAGCGAGACGGACTAAATGACACATTTCATCCTTCAGTCTCCAATTGGAACGGTCTAATAGCTAAACTCCAGTTGAAAGCATAATCGTTTTGCCATTTAATGACAGAACGATGTAAACAAATTACAGGAGGCCATTCGATACACGTCTCTGAAATGAAAAAATAACTTGAACTTCGTGTCCTTAGCAGGATTCGAACCCGCGGCTTCCTGCAAACTAACTGGGAGTACAGTAATATTCACTACACCATCGGGGCACCCAGGCTGGATATGTGGCAACTTAGTGATGTGAGTAGATCGAGCCTAGCCAACCCAAAGGACATTTTTCTTTAGAGACATCTGGGTGGTTTAATTCTTTTCATCTTGTTGAAACAAAATGATATGTTTTAAAGCCTGCAATTATCTATCAACATTGTAAGTCTATATTCCCAGTTGACTTTCGAAGGAATAATTGGATCCTCATACGCCAGTGACATCGCCATAGATAACGTGACGGTTACTGAGGGAAACTGTTCAGGTAAGACGAAGCATACTAAGACGGATTCCGCTCAAAGTTCGAGCGATAAGAGCAAAAAATATTTACTACGGGAGGCAGCGTGGCCGGGTAGTCAGCGTGTCGGACTCGCAATCCAGCGGTCCCGGGTGCGAGTCCCGCTCTGACCACTACCTGGATTTGTTTCTCGGTAGCCCCGAGTAGCCACCCTTTTAAATAGCTAACTGGTTTGCCTCCGGCCAGTTGGGATTCTTAACAATTTTATGTTCAATTTAAATTATTTGTTTCAGTTGTTTGCTCGGCCCCACTAGCACTTGTGCTATAAATTCTGCGGAATTCATCTTAAAGTGGTACAATGTAGAAAATCGCATCTTTCCGATGTCAGCCATTTTCAAACATAAAAAAGTAGCCTGTACGAGAAGAAAAACGCTGTTTACTATTTTCAAATATCTCTTTTCGTTCCGGAGATATTCCAGTTTTCAAAATATGCAAAATAAAGTGATGACATCATAAACTCAATCGAGTTTTGATCAAATATGATGACAAAGATATCTCAGGCAATTTGTATCAGAAATGTTTGATTCTTTGCAGTAAGATCCTACTAAAGGTGCTCCACAATATGAGCTTAACATTTTTGTTACTATGGCAACACACTGGGTTCCAGACTTCCCCAATATTAAAGGCTTTCCTGGCCACCTTTAGCGCTACCTATTGATATTTGTCAATGGTGCCTCATCTGTCGAGTTCCTGGCCTTGTGTAATGTTCTTCGAGCTGAAAATCACTAAAATATTGAAATCAGATTGGAGGAGCCCGGAAAAGAGTGGGTTGCCATGGTAACAGAATTTGACAGCCATAGGTGTGTTGCATGTAGAACTAGTAGTCTGCCAAGTTTCAATAAATTCAGCTTCAAATTGACCGAGATAGCGCTATTTATATACTCGATGTAATATTTGGTTGATTACATGACGTCATCAGTTATCTCATTTGCATATTTTACACATTTTTAAAACTTAAATATCTCCCGAACCAATGCAGGTATTTGCAAAACGGCGTTTTAATCTTTCACGGAATTTTATGTAATAAGCCTAAAAATTCAAGGCGTAATAATTTGATCATAGTACCACTTTAAGAACAATGACCCTGTGAGATCAATTGACTGTATTGCCAACCCTGAATGATAATCGCACTAATCGATATAAAAACAAAGAAGACGTCTAGGACAGTATAGATCTAAGCTTTCACTTAAATTTTGAAGGTTATTTACATTTCTATGATTTTCCATTTATAAGTACGCTGAGCAGTTTTAATCATGAAAAACTCAAGCCACATTGTCATCCTCTTGCAAATAACATTAAAGCCACTGTCGCTTTAACAAGGTTTCGGGTGCTTCTCCTTTCCCACCCCTTTCTCTTTTTCCTATATGTATTTGATTGGAATTATGATTTGCCATGGTCCGTCAGGTTCCTCTTTGATTGGCCATATTGTTGACTTTGGGTTTTGTTTAAATTTAACAATGACAGCAGTGTTCGCTGACCGACTATTTGATTACGGTTGTGAATAAATCTATTTCCACTTTAGTTAGTACATCTTGCGACTTCGACAGTGGACTCTGTGGTGGCTGGCAACAGTCTTACTCAGATGTCTTTGACTGGAAACTAAACACGGGATCAACCTGGTCTTATCACACAGGTCCAGATTACGATCATACCAGTGGGTTTGGTAAGAGAAATATCATCCACTTCATTTAATTGTTGTTGTTCGTTTGTTTTAATTTCCAGCAATACAAATTTATAATTTATATTTGGGCTTTATTTCTTTGTTTTTAGGAAATATTTTGAACAAGTATTTGTTATGCTTCAGGTAGGGGAATTAATTTTTTTTTATGGTCACAGGATACTACATGTATATAGAGACGTCCTCTCCTCGGGTCGAGGGTGATAACGCAAAGCTTGAGATTTCTGTATCGGGAAATGGAGAACTCTCTTGTCTCAAGTTCTATTACCACATGTATGGAAACACTATGGGCACTCTGAATGTCTTCAGCGGAAGTGCGGTAGTTTTCAACGCATCAGGAGACCATGGAAACCACTGGATAAAGGCGGAAAGAACCATTCAATTGGATAGCATGGTAAGTTTCAATCGGTAGATATATGATTTACCTGGCAAATTACGCAATACTTCAGCCTTTCCCTTTCATATTATTAATGGAAAACAATATGCGTCTTTGATAGCTCAGCCTTGAGCAACTTGTAGCACGTTTAATTTCTCGGGCTATTCGTATACAGACGTACAGCTATATAGAAAAATCTATACTAATGAGACAATAACAAACGAAACTCAAACGCAAACATAAAAAGAGAAAGATAGAGACAAGGGCCGACGGTCAGTAGTAAAATACATTTCTTCGCTTGTCCTAAATACATAACTTAGCTAGACAATTCTTCGTTCTTAAGGACATAATTTCTGTTTTGCCTGAGATTACAAATGGAATATTTCACTTCTCATTCATCTTTAATTCATCTAGGTGACATTTGAAGGAATAGTAGGATCCTCATATATGGGTGACATAGCGATCGATGATGTCTCGATTAGCAATGGAAGCTGCCAGGGGCACACTGTATCTCCAACCTTTTCCACAACATCAACCTTGACGCTTTTAGTGACGTCAGATCTATCGACATCTACTCCTTCCACTAAAAAGTCTTCGTTGTCTACAGAGCCATTGAAATTTAGTCTTTCCTCCACTAA